TAAGCAACGCGGAAAAAAAAAACAGAAATACATTATACTCTCTTTAGCCAATTTTAATTGGGAGCAGGGTATAGCAAGAATAAACATTTAAATATTAAACGCGTGTTTCGCAAGCCGCCCGCCCACCGTCGGCCACATACCTTTCTAGTTTGTGTCCCAAAATAGACTCTAATATATTTTTATTAAAATATTCAACAATAACAAACTGACTAACGCCAGCTTCTTACCGACAGCCTTATCAATTGGCTCAACAAATGAAAAAAGAAAAAACAAAAACTTAAATTGATTCCAAACTAATTAGTGGCTGTCAAGTCATGCAGCTAAAGAGTATTAATGCAGAGATACGTATGTTAATTGAGACTTGTTATTAAAATACATAACAAGCTGCTGGTGCCATTAAATATTCATTCACAAAGTGTCACACAATATGCAACCGGTTAAAGTCGCGTTCAAAACGCGCGCGTCGCAATTAAATGGCGCCCAAAACGCGTGCATCGTTGCCATCGCATGTGGCGCTTTTATAGCTATATTTAAATGTGCGCAAGTCTCCATATGAGCATTAGCTATTGTTGCCAATGAGTGAGCTAGTATTGGACTGGAGCTTGGCTGGACAAGTGGAGCCGGTTAATAGGAAATGCAAATGAGAGCCAGCTGCAAAGACAATGGTCGGCGCTTAGCGGGCTTGTTAGCCAATTAGTTGTTGTTTAATGCGTGTGGCACCAGTTCTGAGGACAGCTTGATGGATTGCCTATCCCAATCGGGTTGCACAAATCTGTCATTCGTTCGATCATTCATTCGTCAGCCCAAGCTGTTGCCAAAGGTCTGGTTGCGGTAAGAGTTTGGTACAGAACGCCCCTAATAGATGCTGACCAAATTTTCTGTTTTGGGCAGGCCAAGCAAAACCAGTTTCATAGTTTGCCGGCACGCCTCATCTGTCGTCTGTAATAAGCCCCAGCCGAAAAAGGCTTGGAGAAATTTTTGCAGTCAAAACAATTAAGACAGCCTGGCGGGGCTCTTACAACTTGTTGCCGCCTCACCGGACCACCGACATGCCGGAAAAACAGTTGTCAGGCTCTCTTGGTCGGGCCTGGCTCTAGCTCGGTCTCTAACTTTCCGGCTTTGGTTGGGTTAGTTGCAGCGTGAAAAGTAAAAAGTGTGTAATTAAATGCGTTGATAGTTGCCCCACGGGAAATGCGACAAGCGAAACAAAGTAATGAAAATACACAACGAAGAACTAGGCAAAGTTTTAATGCTCTTTAGAATTTTCTGAAGTCTAGCTGGAAAACTGCACAGCTCTAATTAAAAACCACATATGACTGTTTATTTAAGGCTTAATTAAATAATTTTGAATCATTAATGAAAAATCATATTTATATTTACTTCGATAATTATAGTTTTATAAGAAGTGGGATTATCACAAATATGTCATAAACAAATATACAAATTATAATAAGCTCAAACGTCGTGCTGTTTTTTAATGAAATTAAATACCCTAACACTTAAATATATTTAGTTAAGAAATAGATTTGCACTGTACTAACTCAAACGAGTAAGAGGTTCTAGTCGAGAGCTCCCGACTAGGGGATACCCTGAACCCTCTTCTTTCAACACCAATGCAGATCGCGCTACGCACTCGTTTGCTTAGTAGTAATAAAGAAAAATGAAACAAGAAATAAAATGTTTCCCTTGACAGGGTTCGAGCTCGCAACTAACCGCACCACCTGTCGCCGCCCCTACTGAAGAGCCACACCAATAATTGAGTTTTAACGAGAAAAAAAACCAATGAAAATAGAAGAACAGAAAACTATACAGTCGCAATTGCAATGCTGTTGATATAATTCAAAGCAGACGCGCATGAATGTGTGTGTGTGTACATGTATACAGAAATTCTTGAAATTTGCGCTACCCGATGCTTACACATGCGCACATAACTTCTGTGTTTCTTAACCGATCTTAATAAAATTTTCGACATTACATCTTATTGTAGAATAGATTATAGAATATTTGTTGTATTTGTACACAAGTTGGATAATTAACTTGATTTATAGCTGTGTGGTGGTAGCGGGAAGGGGGAGGGGGAGTATAACATTAAAGATACTTGATATATATATCTACTATTCTAGAAGCTACATGTCAAGTTTGGTGACTCTAGCTTATATTATTTACCAAAATTTTTAACAATTACTTGGAAACGGGGCAAGTTATCGATTATCTGAAACAAACTCGATCTGCGCATGGACTAGGAGGACCTACAGCTAAAATTTCAAGTCTCTAGCTCTTATAGGTTCTGAGATCCTTGCGTTCATACATACGGACAGACAGACGGACATGGCTAGATCGACTCGGCTGTTGATGCTGATCAAGAATATATATATTTTATGGGGTCGGAGATGCTTCCTTCTGCCTGTTACATACATTTGCACAAATACATTATACCTTTTTTACCCATTTTCAATGGGTTCAGGGTATAAAAATTCAACTAAAGCCTGATTGTTGCGAATCAGAATAAAATAAGAGTGTTTTAGCTTTAGCTGTTTATACTTAAAAATGTTGAGTCCTTTGTTCCTTATATTATCTTTAAAATTTCATTACATGCGTTGCCAACTGCGATGCTTTGTTGATGGACCCAACCAAACGCGGTGGTAGAGCACAAACAACAGCAATTAACATAAATTGCGTACGCGATGCGGCTCATTGACTTTTAAAGGGTTTTCTATAGTTCGGGCTCGCATTTGGGACAGCTGCCCGTCAATCATTCGCACAAATGAACTCTGACATTTCCGTGGAGGAGGCACGGCACAAAAAATGAGGCATTGCCGCCAAATTTTTTGTTTTAAATTGCGCTTTTTGTCCGTGTGACGCACCTGTCGCAATGACGAACAGTTTGGCTGAACTGGTCCGTACGACATACGGCATGGGCGCGATAAGCATCGTCTAAACAACAAAAGATTAACACGCCGGAAAAGCACAGTGCCCAGATGGACAGGTCAGATTAGAGACGCATGCGACCGATGCAACAAAAATGGCCACACACAAACAGAAGCAACAAAAGAGAGCGACACCAGGTACGTAAATGGACGTAGCTAGACATGCTGGCGGTTTGTGTTGATCTTACCACAAGGATGCAAGTAGCCGCCAACTCATCACATATCTTTGAGATCAAGTTACAGCCACACGGCAGACACCCAAGTGTTATTCGGCGATTTCAAATATGCTTAATTCTTAAGGTTGGTATACGCACCTTTTGTCTGACAGGTGTGCTGTCCTTGTTGTTGTATATAAGTATTTGTTTGTCTTAAGTAATTATTGTAGTCACTGACTAAAATTCACTTTCATTTTCTGCTTTTTAGGTTTATTTTTGTTAGCCTGAAATTTTAATGGAAATAATAAACTCAATTAACCCGGCGAATGGAGTAATAAAAGAACACGATCGTCTTTCCAACGATGGCCATAAATCATTTAATCAATGAATGTCCATAAAAAAAGCCGCCCATTATGCGAGCTCTTGATAGGCACGACAAGGGGCAGTCGCAGTGAAGGCCAAACAAATGCCTAAAATCCCAAACCGTTGATAATTCCACCTCCACTTCCAAGCCCACTGCTCATCCGTGTTGCCGGTCGCCCACACGCCGCGCACGCCGCTTAGCTGATCTGGCGAGCACCAATGCACTTTACGTTATTAATAACAAGTTCGTATATAGTACATATTTACACACACATATGCGTGATATTTGAAAAGCCCGCGGCAATTGTGAATGCATTTATTGTGATGCCACAAACAAGCGCATTGACAACTGACAGCATGGGCGCAACGACGAGCACATTGCTAACCGTTTTGCAAACTAATCACTTGTTACTTCTCGGTTTTTGGCGCAATTTTTGCAACTCCACATAGCACACGTACTTTTTGAGTATTGTTGTAGTTTTATGGTCGCGACAAGAAATCGTATTTTTGTAGCATGCTCATTGCCTCGAGGCCGTCCGCGTCACAACCGCTATGTTCGGTGTTTTGCTTGCGACTGCCCGAGCTGAACGTACGATTGCCGATGTATTTGATTTTTGCGCGGGTAATATCGATATATCTTCGTGTTCGATAAATCCGCTCTGATACACCTTACATTATGTTAACCGACACTGTTAATTTTTTAAACTAAGGAAATCAATAGAATTGCTAAAAGTTTTTAGATTTAACTATTATACAAATAGAGATTAAACAACTCTTTTAGAACTTTATGGGTAATCATGGAAATTTTCAATTTATTTTATAAGAATTAGAACTCATGAATTTATATAAAAACATTCGGAATTTAAATTTTTATTATGAAAATTAAAATTAAAAATCGAAACACACTGAAACGAATATATGCCGAGCTTGACCGTTATATTGTAAACAAAAAAGGTTAATTTTCTTCATTTTCCATCTATCATTCCTATGCTAGCTTTATGCCATACTAGTTAAACTCCGCATGTGTACTGTCTGCAACAAAAAGACGGTCTTGGATGATTTGAATCTGATGGAAAATATATATTGATTATAAAGTCGGATGTATTCTACACATTTCAAGATAAAATTACCATTAAAAAACCATGCTTTGGTTCAGGTTAATGCTGTTTCTTGCTGCCAACCAACATCTCTAACTTTCATTTAACATATTTTGAATCGTGTTTTATTTAATTTTTAGCAGACCAATGGTTTAAAATTGTTTAACTTACAATTACACCAAAGAAATTTAAATGCTAAATTACTGTCTTGGTTTTTTTTAAAGTAATGTATGAATACTCTTTCAATTTCTTCAAGTAATAATTAATTTAAAATTCTTATTTTTACATTTCAATTTGTTTAATCTGCACTGGAATCGATGAGTACCCCCTGATCTCTATCAATCAGGACTGAACGATATTGGTAGCTTATAAGGGTTTATAAATTCTATATTAAATGGCGTGTTCTAGTAAATTGTTTTAATAAACCGCCCACTACAGTTTAAAAACAACAACAAGCATTGCTTTCCAGTATTATGGTTTATTAATTTTTAAAAAATATTTCATTTACTTATTTGATTTTAAAACTATAAAGGTGTGATCTATTGTTAGTTTAACAAACGTTAGCAAAGAGAACGCATTTATTTCGAATTATTTTGAATTATTCCATTGTTTTTGCTTAGTTCTCTGCGCTAGTTTTAGTGTGTACTATATACTAATTATACATTTACGTTTGCATATAAGCAAACCTCATGCAAAAGATTTACGCTGTAGTTTGGACTCGAGTTTCTAGTCAAAACTTGGACAAAATCAAACAAATACACAAAGGCATATGGCAACTGTTCTCTGGCATTATTGTATATAATATACATACGTACACATTAGTATATACAATATATATATAGTATATGCTGTATATGCCTAAGGAAGTCGCCATAGGCAACATCAATTAAGACAAGTGTTAAATTTTCAAATTATTTGGTTTATGTAAAAAACGTAAAAATGAAAAATAAACTAAAAACAGTTGCTAAATCGAGTGTATCGAACATACCAAGAGGAAAGATAGAGGAAGATCTTAAGGACCGGACACTATCCAGCGTTGGGCGCAAGACAACGTTGGATGATGCGGAAATTCCATTGATATGGTCGAAAAGGCCACGAAATGTGGTGAGTAAATGTTATCCAAAAGGTAGCAAAATGCGAATTTAAAATCCTAATCCGATGTGAAACAAATGCTGAAGTGAAGCACGAAGGGATGCGTTTCCAAAATCCTTGCATATCCTGTCCATGTGCACACGTTTGTTATCCACATCATAATTCAAGTTATCTCATACCCACAAAATTACTTTATTCCGAATTGAAAACACAAACCCAAAAGGATGTAACGAAGCTCTTAAATGGGGTTCCAAATAGTAAGTAAGCAAAAGAGGTTAGAGGCTGTTCTCCATGTTTATAGCTCGTATCGTGGGGAAACTGCATCCCACGTTGTCCTAGAGTTATAATCTTCTTTCGCGAAGGTAAAAGAAAATTCCTAATATCCAAATCCTTTTATGAATCCTAATATCCAAATCCTTTTATGATTCCTAATATCCAAATCCTTTTGTTTCCTGATATCATTTTATAAACAACACGCTTTCCAAATTGCCTGCCTCCTCTAATTTACTCCAAATTCATCTTTATCCTTTCCACTTTCCACTTCAAACTTCACTCCACCATCAACATCAAAATTATCCTTCCTCCTTATCCTTATCCTTCCTCCTTCTCCAATAATCCTCATTATACTCCAAACATAAACGCGCAAAATGGGGAAGAGAAGAAAATAAAATGAAATATTAATAATATGTAAATGTACTCCATAAACATGGTTGTGTTTTGATTTTGTTTATATATTATTTATTCTGAATAGTAGTGGATTCTTCTTATTGTTTGTTGTTTGGTAATAAGATAAATTCTAATAAATTTTGCTTTACGAATGCAACCAAATTTTAAAACAAGGAATGTGTGAAAAAGAGACTTTCCTTGAATTATAATTATTGTTAAAACTTAATTTGTCAAATGTGTATTTGTATGCATTAAATAATTTAAAAGAATTTTTCTGTTCTGAGAGAAAAGCAAGTGTTTACTGTTGTTAGTGTTCTTAATTTGGGATTCACATTGGATTGCTCCAGTCTTGATAAAAGGGTTTCTTTTCTTGATATTAATCTGATCAATCGTTTGACAGTCAGCATAATTGAATAAACAGTAAGTATAGGAGCTAGGGGGGAGGGGTCTTGATAGTTATCTTGCTTTTCCTAATTTTTCCTGCTCGTAAGAAATATTAATATTAATGGATAATGATTGTATAATTTAGTAATTAGAGCGTGAGCGAGACCTGGAATAGGATTGACGACGCACCGGCGAATATGTTGGTGTACCACGACGACGTGGCCGTGATGAAAACGAGCGCGAACGTGATCTGTGAAAGGGATTTAAATTAGAGAAAAACAAAACGGATTCATTCAGATTCCATATTTTTGATTACCGTCATAATTACCATTTTCACAGTAATAAAACGTATTTAGAATACAGGTAATCTTTGTTTAACAGCTTCAAACTTACCTATCGCGATAGTCACGACCACCACCGCCGCCCCCACCACCACCACCACCGCGGTCATTATCTCCGCTGTCCTCCCGCACCCGTATGTAGGCGACCTCACCCTTAAATTAGTCCATGCGTAAGGTACTGTTCGCAAAGTACAAATCATCCTCTTGTATTGGTGGTACTCACCTCATGGGAACGGAAACGAGAGTCATCTAATTTTTTAATGGCGTACTTCATATCCTCGTGACGCAAAAACTCCACGACTCCAGAACCATCTTTGTATGTGTCGGCAAAGCAAACATCTCCGGCCTCACGCATGTGATCCTTCAGGTCCTGCCACGAGCCTGAACCTGGCAAGCCAGTTACCATGACACGGTACTGTGAGCGCTTAGCTGGGGGTCCTCGGCCACCCATGCGGCCACCGCCATCCCGGCTACGATCGTTCCGATTGTTGCCGCGGTAGCTACCTGGACCACCACCGCGAGGGAACTCGACTCGCAGACGATAACCGTCATAGTCATATCCATCACGCGCTTTAACAGCATCATCTGCATCACTGTATGCCGCCGAAATTAAAGTTGCATTTTATGTTAACTCCTTGTACATATGGATGTATGCATATATGTATGCGAGCCATTCGTTTTGTTACTCACCGCGCATCTTCAAACTCTACAAATGCAAATGGCGGACCACGCCGATTCTTCAAATCGACAAATGTGACTTTGCCGAACTTGTGGAAAAGGTCCTGTATGTCCTTGGTGCGAATGTCTGGTGGCAAATTGCCAACATAAATGCGACACTCATTGCGGGAACCCATTTAGTAATTTTTAGCGTTTGAAATTGGATATAAATGGCAAATTTTTTTCCCAGAACTTTTGCTGTCACGCAATTACGCACACAAGGAAATTACATATACACATAAATGCGACGGCGTTACAAGTCTGCATGGGACAGTTATCGACAAAAATAATGCCTTTGTCGCAGGTTGGCAGTTCCCTTTATTTGTTGTTCAGTATTTTTTGTTTGAGCTTATTTAGTAGCATTAGTTCAGCGGCGTCCGCCTATACAAAACAACTTTTAGTTGCAATAAAAATGAAAATGTGCCCTATTCTAGCTGAATTAATGAGCAAAATCAAACAGAACAAGAACGCTACTGCCAGCGTAATAAAAAATGTGCAATCTTAATTTTCGCGGGAGTGCATAAAGTTGTCTGTTGCAGCCAGCAGACAACAGCCTTGAATATTTGTGAGGGTTCGTGTGTGTTTGTGTATTGTGTGTATATAAACAAAGTGCGAACGCGGGAATCGCCACATAAATATTTTCCCAACTGCATAAGATTGTACCCTGTGTGAATTAGAATCCACCCACAGCAATGTCTAATGTGCGGTGCATAAATTTTTGGGATCTGTGCCGCATATGCACGGCCAGCAGTGAACAGAAAATTAACATATACTCGCCCGATGGACGCGCCAAAAATTTGAGCCAAAAAATCGCTGAATGTCTGCCAGTGCAAGTGAGTAGCATTGAAAATATAACAAGTATACCCAGGTCATGATTTGCCACCCATTCGAGCAGATCGATGAGAAGGATCGGCTACCCAAGGTGGTATGTGCCCAGTGCGCCCAGCAAGTGGACCAAATATACGAAATTCGCAATATTTCGAGAAACTCGCAAACTATACTCAACAATTGGCTCAACCATCGAACGCTGCAGAGCGATGACAAAGTGTTCATCAAAGATGCCATCAATGATACTGGAAAGAGCCTTAGCGTGCTCAGCACTGCGTCTGGTGGGCTTGTCTCCAGTAGCAGTACTCAGCAGTCGAACGACCTGCTCAGCAGCATCATGCAAGCCGTTGGCATGCAGGTTCAACAGCAACAACCCCAACAGCAACAACAGTACACCATTACTGTTGACAGCCACGTTCAGGCGCAGTCACTTCCCCATCACCATCCTCAATCCCAGGCAGAAATCAAGTCCGAAAAGCAAAAGTAAGTTTTACATTCACGTTGTCGTGCAAACCAATTAATCGAGTCGAATTTTAATATCAGTACTTTGGAGGAGTTTATACGCCTGAAGCCGGACATTAAAATTACGCCGCTGGGCAAGAAGGAGAACGTGCATGGCAGTACTATATCCAATATAAAGCAACAACAATCGCAGCAGCCACAGCAACATGCACAGCAACCTGTCCAACTGCAGGCGCAAACGTTAACAGCTATGCCTGCCCCTGCCGCTCAAATTCAATTGCAACCGCAGCAGCTCAATGACCTCAATGTGCTATTGCAGCAACAGGCGCTATGGCAGCAGATTCAGCAGCTACAGGCGCAGTCGCAGTTTACCAACGGTGGTGATGACGGAATGAATTCCACGGAGAGCAAAAAACCGAAATTAAACTTTGTGCTATCGTCACCAGTTGGAACTCCGCAGTTTGCTGGGAGTTTGCCACAGTTTGGCAATGTGGGTGGCACACAGCCCCAAATTCAGTTACAGCTTCTGCCAGGAGGTGCAAGCTCGAGCAACACATCAACGGGCGGCATCGCTGCCCAACCTGCACAACAGCTCAATGCCGCTGCTCTCCTCTCCCTGGCTGGCACTCAGCTGGTTGGAGGCAATGGAGCTGGCAATATGCTTTCGCCCAACAAATGTTTTTTGCCAATTACCATACGCGATGAAAACTCGGATCAGCAGATTGTCGCGCATATTGACACCAAGAACCTGGTGCTACCCACTACATATCAAGTGCAAATGAAGGTGAGGCTCGGCAGTAATAACTAGATTGATCAAATTAACTAAGCTGTCAAAAAAGCGGGCACAAATTAAAAATCCAAGTCAAAAGCATGTTTGAAAACATACAATAACAGAATACAATATTCCTTTTACTTTTGCAAATTACATTTTTTCTTTTGTATTCAATTATTTAAGACACGGGAAATAAGGGACAATCTTATCGCACATTCTTTTTATTATTTCATAACTTTAGTTTTAGGTAGTTTGTAAAGATATATTTGAAGCAGACATAATATTCTGATTAAGGGTGGGAAGTAAATAGAGCAAATAAAGTTTGAATTTGTAAGTGCATATTTTAAATTTGTATGTTACTTTTGATTATTTTAGAAAACTACCATGTTAAAATTACTATTTATACGTATTTGCATATAAGGTTCCTCATATTATTTACACATTTAACATACTCGAAATACTTTCGATTTGCAGCTACAACCACAATTGGCCACTGCGGATGGTCAGCCCATCATGCAGTTGACACCAACTTCCATTCCAGCCACATTGCAGTTAACGCCACAGACTTTGGGCAATGCGACGGCCTTTCAATCAGCGACAACACATCAAAATCAGTTCCTTGTGCCACAACCGCAACAACAGCAACACTCGCATCAACAACAACCGCATTCACAACAACAACAACAACAACAGTCACAGCAACAACAACAACAACAGCAACAACAACATTCGCAACAACATCAACAACTGCCCCCTGCTACAGCGCAGGTGACTTCACAGCAAATCATCAGATCACCGCATGGAAATGGAATGAATTCACAGCTGGTGATTCGAAACGTTAGCTCTGAGCCGAGCACACCGATGGGCGGCAATGCCGATTCGTCGGTCACCTTCAAAATGTCATCTCCACGACAACAGCAACAGCAACAGATCAAGTATAAACCCCCATCTTCCAGTGCAAATTCAGTTGCAGTTCCTTCTGCCGTTTCTTCTAGTAATGCGCCCCATACTGAGTTTAGCAAGCGTGTGGCGCAAGCCAAACAGCAGCCACCCGGGCCAAGTAATGTGGCTGCTTTGCAGCGGCTTTCTTCTAACACGACCATTACCAAGTTGCCCAAGCAACAACAACCCGTGGCGGCCAACAAATTACCATTGCTAAATAAACAGAATATAACCATAAGTCGCATATCTACACAAGCACCTTCAAAGCCGGAGGCCAAGCCGACAGCTACAGCACAGACACAGGCACAAGCGCCTAAACCACAGCCAGCGCCGCCACCACCCTCTCTGGCGCTGCAACAGCTGCCTCAGCCACCAGTCAGTGAAGTTACTAGCATTCTCAACCAAAGAAAAATCATTCGTAAGCCGCCCGAGCAATTGGTGAATCAGAAAGCCAAAACCGCTCGCCCGCAGCAACAGATTCTGCCTGTTCCCGCACAGCAAACGGCAGCACAGTCGCAGCCTCAACAGCATCAACAGCAGCAGCAACAGCAACAGATGGCCAACACTTCGATCGCCGAGACGCCTACTGCGACACCCGCGAATGCACTTACCTGTCCCACCTGTCGGCGCGAGTTCAAGAAGAAGGAGCATCTCACCCAACACGTCAAGCTACACGAAGGCCTGCGTCCATTTAAATGCACCGAAGAAGGATGCGACAAGGCTTTTAGCCGAAAAGAGCACTTGTCTCGCCATTTGGTCTCCCATTCTGGTCAGAAGATGTTCAGTTGCGAAGAGTGCAAGAAGCCCTTCTCGCGCAAGGACAATCTTAACAAGCATAAGCGGCAAGTACATCCAGCCATAGAATCCCACCAGATAATGTTGACTGAGCCATATTATATTTGGTGTTTGTATATACATACTAAACGAGAACATATGCACCAAGTTTGCTGTATTTAAATCATGTAACTTTTTAGTTAAAAAATATATATTCGTTCTGGAAATGGTACGAAAATATGTATTACAAATTTCAAGTATCTAGCTTTGTTAGCTTAACAGGCCTCGTCGTGATCGAAAATATATACTATGTGTGATCGCCTGGCTGCTTTTGCCAGTTTATAAATTTGTACATAATAATTATATTTTTTTAGAGTTTTTTATATACACACTTTTGGATAAACAAATTGTCCTAAATGATAAAAGTTAGTCAAGAATGCATTATAGTGTATGGCTGAGAAAATGTGTGTTATTTTTAAATATATGAGTTAAATTGGAATGATCGATATCATATCTCGGTACAGGGTAACTGCAAATCTGACACTCCCGACTAAACACTGTTTTTGGTTATTTTTGTCATTCCCAGTCAGCTAAATTTTATGCTGGCTTAACAAAGCAGGTTATTCATTTAAATACTAAATTTTTCCCCTGTCGCATCTAAATTTTTTATTACCTGCAACGAAAATAAACCTTGTACAAAATTAGAGCAGTTTCATTACTGAAATATAAATAACTCAGAAATGATCCCCTTCTGTGTGCTTGATGCCATTTGTTAATTTAAATATAAATAATAATTAATATTCATAATTGCTTTTTACTAGGATAAGGATTTGTAAATTCAACACAACAGTTAAATTATTTACATTTTCCGCAGGACTCACAATACGCAGCCAAGCGAGACACGACTCCACAGTTGTGAGATTTGCAACAAAAACTTTGCATCAAAGCAGCATTATGAAAAACATCGTGAGATGCACAAGAAGACGCGTGTCGATAACGCAGCGTCTTCCACACAACCCACAAACGGTGCCCATCAGGCCAAGGTAGGAGTCTTCAAACTTTTTAATTTAGTTCTATATAGATAATTTAACTTTTTCTTCTAGGATCTCTATGAAGTTAAGCATGAAACTTCAACAGCGCCCCAATCGCAGCCGACGCAATCTCAAATGCAAATTCAATCGCAGCCCCAACAACCGCCTCAGATCATGCATGTGGACTTGGATGGCAACACTATAACAATCACCCAGGCATCTGATTCTAGTATGCCAACATCTCTCGCGAACTTTGTTCAGCTGGGATTTCCACAATTTCAAAATGCTAGCGGCCCCTCAAACCAAATAGTTTGTAAGCTTGAAAAGTAGATACTAACATTTTGGTTAAACTTGAGTAGTGCTTCTCTAGTCCTCGACTTAGTTTAGTAATGTTTCTGTCTCGCATATTGTCAGTTTTTTACCAGCACATTTGTTTATATATATGTTATATTTGATTTTATTTATTTAGAAGTTAATCCTATTTTCGACTATGTCGACTGTAAAAGCTTTTGTGTTCTGTCTCTTTTCGTGCAATATGAATGTTTTTTGTTTTTATTTTTGTATATACTTTATTTATTTATTAATAGCGTCGTTCCTTTTTTCTAAATTATTTGCATTTTATTTTCAAGTTATCCATTTTTAAAATTAGTTACTTTAACCTTGTTTATATATATGTATATATATGTATGTACACATATGTATATGCTACAACTTGCCAATATTAGAAGTTCATACATATACATATATATGCATACCCATTTTAGGTTAATATTTTAGTAGCATTTAAATGTAAATATTTATTGAGATCATACACATAGCAGTTAAGGTATATCTGATACTAAACCCTTTGTAATGCCCACATCTGTTGGTTAGAAATTGAAAATAAAAGTCAGATCGAAAATTAATATAAATGCGGTTGTTTAATTTACGGAATAGTTATTTTATTTGTTTGGAGCGCTCTGTTCGATGCGATATACAACAGATGGCAGCCCCAATTGTTTACCCATTAATTTTGGTAGCTTTTAGATTTTTCGTTCGTGTACTGCAAATACAAATTGGAATTGAAAAAAAAAAAAAAAGTTTTCTCTTCATCTTTAAATTATTTCATTTCCACGAATTACAACGAATGCAGGCAACTAAATACCATTGGCAGATGCAAATTGAAGCACGTTTCCAACTAAATATTATGCAAAACATTCTGAAATTTTCAAATGAAACCAGTCTGAGACAAAATTAACAAAATAAATAACATTTAATGTGCTTTGTTTAGAATTGTAACATAAAACTATGCAGTTATTTTAAGGTTTTTATTAATACTTTAGATGGGATGTAGGATTGTGCAATTTGTATGCTGCTTTTATAAATACTACATACATAAATACTACTTTAGCAGCGATAAATAAATGTGTAAATTCTTTGGCCTAATTAAACATAACAGAGGAAAATTCGTATAGTTAGCAATTACATTCTAAATACATAAATACTACTGCAAGGCACTGGAACGGTTTAACAGGCTCTACATTAAAGGAACAGTCCCGCAGGTGAGTGCAAAAAGCGTGGCATATGCACAGGCGCAGGACGATGACTTAAAACTCCAAATATATGCGGCTGTAAACTGAATGATTGCGATTTGGAGTTTAATTTAGTTTCCGTGTGGATGGTGCGAATAACTACGTGCAAATACATTGTTAGATGAAGAGCAGAACAAGCCAAACAAAACCAAACCAAACCAAACCAAACATAACAAAACGAAACAAACCCAACCAAAACCAAGCGGGAGACGACAACGCCAGAAGTGAAAATTTGTAGTGAAAAATGTGCAGTGCTAACCTTAAAGATTGTTTTTCAGGTTTGCAGCTGCTCTCAATCGTAACTCAATGAGAACTCGTTAATCTTTTGGACATCGCCCCATACTTGAATCGATTGTATCTCTGACAGGGAAAAGAGGGTCTCGAATTTTGTAACAAAGTTATGACCCTGTCCACGCACTTGGTACACGATTATGGTGGAATTATCATAGTCAAACTGAAACTCAAGTGAAAATGTTGATTCTGTGAACGAATAGTGAAATTTGCCGTCTATAATACGGGGATTGCTTGACCACTTCACGTCGCTTTTACCATCGAATATATTCAGATATTTCTCCTGATGCGATCCGCTCCACTCGCCATTACTCTTGTAATTCTCGACGATCGTCTGCGATGGCACCTTTACTTTAAAATGATATGTTATGTTGTCTGTGCAGCTGGGACTGTTCACAAAATTAATGGAAAATCTGTAATGGAAAACAAAAAAAAAACAAGAAAAACAATTAATAGTTAACCAGCGAAGTACAGGTGTAAAATGTCTATATTAGACCCGATTATACCGCCAAGTCATGTTATATCCGGCATTTAGTGGTCTGGCCAAATAATTCCGCGTGGGTGGGATAAAACGTGCAGTCCATGCGGAATATACAGCTACGAAATATTATTTCTTACCGTCATTCGGAAATTTCAAATGATTCATTGTAAGAACATTTGCGCCAATTAGCATTCAGCGTTATGACTTGGTCAATTGTCTCCATTTGCCTCTATTTTTAGACATTTTTAATGATATTTAGCTGAGGTACATAAGTGAGTACCTTAATAGGATTTTATACTCTTGTAGAAAGTAGTTTTGTTAGAAAACACGTCTAAGCGACACATTTAAAGCGACGACTCCAAATCCAAAGAGTATACAAATCTTTCTCAGTATCAACTCCCGAGAACCCTACCGCAATGTCCGTCTATTTGTGTGCAAACTAAAAAAGGCTTTACTTTGTTGCAATTATTACAGAAGTCGGAGTTGGCCGGATTAAAACATTATAGCTATAGTTGACGTAAGATCTTAAAGTTATTGTATGCCATTGATTTTGGTTTTCAAGCTACATATATTTACTTAGTTTGGGGATTTGCTATGCTACAAATACATGCTTCTTTCTAAAGTTGTACACTTTCTAAAGACTAAGCAAAGTAACTTACAAAAGGACTATATCTCTATCTATCAGCAGCAAATAGAATTCCTGAGAAAAGTTATGGAGCTTTATCTGTCTCATTTAATCAATATTGATGGCAAATCTGATATAGACTACAATAAACCGTATTTCACACAAGCTGATGTGATATTTTTTGATTAATCGAAATTTGAGTGGTATAGGAATAGAGAAAGCTCGAGTTGAATGGAATTTAATAATTAATCTTTAACTAATTAAGAACCAATATTTCATTTATTAAGAGCACAGTTTTTAATTCTCTTGCAATCATAGTTGTTATAACTTCCTATTCTTCAAAAATTCACCTTAGATAAAATCTACAAATAAGGAGCAACATTAGTTGCGAAATATTTAAATTGATTAGCAATTGTTATTGAAAACCATTTAATCTCCTAATTCCTTCTTTAAAGCCTTATGAGAATAGTACAAGAACTTAATATTAGATCGAACATTTCTATGGAAGCTATATGGAACATAGTAATTCGATCCAGTCGATCGGTCGTAATGATTGCTTTAAGACTCCGACAGTATTTTGCGCATAACCAGGCAGACGGACATGGCGATATCGAGACATCTGATGATACTGATTACTAGTCGGAGACGTCTTCTTCTATGCGTTACACATTTCGTGACAATATTGGATAAATGCATACTGAGTCATAAGTTACGCTTATGTACCCCAAAAACAGAAAAGAAGACTTTTTATTCAAGTGTGAAAGAAATATATATATAAATAGACGGATAGGGGTCCGTGTCGGGACACCATATATTTGCTAATCAAAATATGTACATTATGCATGAGAAATGCACTATGTGATTCATAGAAAAATTTAAGTTCTGTCTGTAAGAGTATAAGAACGTAACCTATCTAGAGGGGTCTCTTATCAGAAGCAGGGATCTAAGTAGCTTGTTTGTGAATGTGCGTCATGTATGCATGTATCGAACGGGCTTATCAATTTAGCAGTAGTACTAAACAACAATTGATTGGGCAAAGAAACAGCAAAGGTGGTGTTATCATCACGACAAGATAGCGATATCGACAGCAAGGTCTTGTAAATAAATGCCTATGTCAGGCCTTACACCACGAAACCGGATCCGAATTGTGAAAATTCACATCGCTGGGATGTGATGAAATAAGTAGAATTGTGATTTATTGACATCATTTGCCCAGTGACCATCGAGTTGAAGAATGGACAAAATCAACGCTTGCTCACCCATAGCTGACCTGTTGATATGCCATAATATATTGTCTGGTGCCTCGCATTATATTCTGTTGTCTGTTATGAAAAGATTTTTATTGTTGTCTGACAGCGTCCCACTGGCCGGCAATTTAGCGGCATCTTCAGCGCGTGGCTGCTGCTTTAATTTGGCGTTGATGATGTCATTGGTTGTGGGAACTGATATAGAGATGCCAAAAGCGAGGCATGCGTTAAGGAAATAATGGTACAAGATGTTACCTCAATAAGATCCTACTAAGTATAATAAAATTGTGCATCAAATTTAATTCATACAGTTTTTTAAATAGTTCACCCACCCAGCTGTTTACCACAAATCGTGTTATTATTGCTTTTTTTTTTTATAAAATTTTATAAAAAGCTCCTTTAAATTCTTGCACGCGAAATTCTAATTGCTTTTTCTTAGGAAAAATGGGTTACTTAAAGGGCACTAATCGATTTTTGAAAAACTCTTTTTACATGTAGCAGAAATTAGTGTGTTAGTCAACCTACTGTTGTGGCTCCTGCAGCAGGCTCCCTCGTATGGCAAGTTTACTCATCCTGTCCGACTCGTCGGGATTAGCTGGTAGCACAACCAAAAATTTAACCTCAGCCATTTTTAATATATTTTCTTCGGAACGCTTCTAAATTTTTGGCTGTTGAGCACGTTTATTCAATTAGAACGACACAAATTGTAACAGTAAATTGCAAGCTCATTCAACAAAATGTAAACAATATTTAGATAATGCTTTGCTTTGCTTTGCTTTGTTGCTAACGGTTACAACTTAGGCCCGAGCTCTTTACAGTTCGCTGGCACGAGTAATACTGTTCGAATGTAAGCAAGAAGCGGACGTTCTCAACAAAAATTTCATTTTAAAGATCGCACAACGACGTCACGGGCAAAGTACTTTTCGCTGGATACGAAGTGCATATTTGAGTTTTAATTTACGTATACGTATAACCTAACTAAGCCGACGCGACACGCGCTGGGTTGCTTCATCCACCTCGAGTGAGTCAATACTAAACAAGAATTTTTCGGCTGGCCCACATAGCAAACACGAAAATATATGCGAGCCGACGACCACACACTCTTGCATAAATATTATCTTATCTTAATTATATATTCATATCACAGAATATAAGGTAGCCGAAAAATCAATTTTTATTTAGTGTTATTCGTTATTATGTTTATAGAAAAAACTTATTTTAATACATATTCCAAAAAGGACAACTTTAGTATATATTCTGACTTAAAATGTAGCGTGATGTTCACCTAAATATAGAATGTGTACTTAATCTTGTGCAAACAGCTGTTTTTGCAAGCTGAATGCTATTTAAATATATTATCAGTAAATATTTCCATTTTGCTCTAAAAAATGATCCCTGAGTTCATGCAGAAAAACACAGTTTTCGTTTTGCGTGTTTTTCGATCAATAATGGTTTTTCTATAGTCTATTCTTAGGCAGCGAAGGAATTGAAGTATAGATACACACATTACCAGCCAAGGGTTTTGGGTAAAGAAAGATCAAGGATCCGATGAAATTTTTTCGGAAAGAACCAGTTTTGAATATTTTTGTCTTAACTTTTTAAGTTTTCTTGAGCAATTACATCAAAAGACTCCACCATTATAACTTTACCTATGGGTACTAAACATTTAGAATTTGAATTTAGTAGCTAATAATTGACTTAGCACACTGTCTAAAGATTTCTTATGAAGAAATAACACAAACGTAGGCCTTTAGTGCGTTTGAAATGCTCGCTCAATCGAAAAATATGGGATTCTCGGGGGCTTTTAGTTTTCTTTGCTGAATTAGATAATGCTCTAGGTGCTTAGGATAAATTACTTTCATATGAGCAGTACACATACATATTTGCATTATTTTATTTTCGCTGTTTTCAGAGACATTTGAGCGTTGATTCGATTTAGATCACCTCGGCCTCCATTTCGCAGCCTTTCAGAGCAGCTAAAATATTTCTGGCCGTAATGCGAGACATCTCCTTGCGAGTCTCAATGTCCGCGCTGCCTATATGAGGCAGCACCACAATATTATCCAGCTTAAGTAGTGGACTGTCTAGTGGCAATGGCTCCGGCGTGGTTACATCCAAACCTGCCGCCAGGATCCGCTTCGAGTGGAGTGCTTCATATAGAGCATTTTGATCCACAACTCCACCACGCGAGGTATTGATAAAAATGCAATTGGGTTTCATTTTCTCAAAAGCTTCAGCATTAAATATCTCTTTTGTTTCAGGGGTTAGGGCGCAGCAGATTACAATAAAGTCCGATAAGCAGAGCATTTCATCAAAGTCCACACGCCGAGCATTAACCTTTGCAGCCTCTTCCGGCCTGGCCGTCCGGGTCGTGTAAGTTATCTGAGCTGGTTTGAACGGCAGAATGCGTGATGCAATCTCCTGCCCAATGCGACCGAACCCATATAGGCCAACGCGCGAGTCCTTTAGGCCCTGTCCACACATCCACATGGGCGCCCACGATTTCCAGCCGCCATTGTAAACTTGTTTGTTGGCCTCAAACAGGCGCCGGTTTGTGGCCAGCAGCAGAGCCAGCGTCAACTCGGCGGTGGCATCGGTCAGCACATCGGGTGTGTAGCCAACACGAATGCCCCGTTTCTTGCACTCCTGCACATCGATGTGCTCAAAACCAACAGACATGGTAGACACGCATTTTAGCTTTTCCCCAGCAGCATCCAGCACTGCTGCATCAATTTTATCTGTGAGAACGCAATAGAGCGCATCCTTACCCTGAACTTGACGCAGCAATTCGTCTCGTGGCACTGGCAAAGCCTGCGACCAAGTGGTCACATTGCAACTAAGATAAACAAAAAATATAAGTTAAAACGATTTAATGGCAGCGAAAATAAAACAACCTCTTACGCAGCAATTCCAGTCCACTGGCGTCGACATCTGGACGAGTTACATAAACACTTTGCAGGGAACTCATGGTGGCTCTGTGTAAGAATTGGGCAAGACTTTTGGCATGCTGTGTAAGTCGAGGTTGGATTTTATACATGTTAATTTAGTTTTACCTCTCAAACAAACGAGAATGTTATGTTAGCCTAAGATTTTGGGGACATTTTAAATGCTAACTTTGGTCACACTTGTTTTGTTAGCAGTTTCTTCTGAGTTTAACAGATCATTACTAGTAACTAAAAAGGTGTTAAAATTATTCCCAAATTAATCATTTTTACCTATTATTTAGATATGGATTGGTACGTTGGCACCGAATGGAATGACACAGCGCGCGGGCTGCATAAGAAGGTGTTGAGCCTTGAGTTTCAGAAAATCGAGAAGCCATTTGCTGTCAGCACCGTCTTGTTCAGCGTAAACAAACCATGCATGAGCTTGGGGCCCAGACCAAGCAAATACTTGGGCTCCAGTGAGATACAGGAATACACGTTAGAAATGGGCACTGCTGTAACTCCAATTGATTGCTATTTAGAGCTGTTGTTGCAGCAATTCATGCCTGGCGAAACCTCTGCGTGCAGCATTGCAACGAAAACTGGCGAACGTTTGGAATTCGAGCTGAAGCTGGATCGCATCATTAGCAATAAACAAGTGGAGAAGCTGAGCGCAGCGGATATATATATCCTGGCACTAAGCTACAAGGAGAAAGGCGTAACTATGTTTAAGGAACATCCAAAGTTTGCTTGCGACTATTTCTCGCGTGCAGCTAAATTGCTGATTACATACAAACCCTTCGATAAGCTAGACAAAAAGACAAATGGGATCGATGGCAGCCAGTTGCAGATATTGTTTGTGCAGATACAAACTAATTTAGCCGCATGCTTTCTACTGGAAAAGCGTTACGAGCATGTCGTATATCAAACACAATTTGTGGAAGAACAGGAGGAGCCCAGCGAGAAGAGCATCTATCGGCGCGCATTGGCCTACTATTACCTGAAGGAGTTCGAAAAGGCTCAGCAGTTGATTGAGCGGGTTCCCAATTACGAGGATAAACGCGAATTTAGTAAATTGCGCGACAACATTGCGGCCAGCTGGAAAAATAGCAATGCCAACTACAAGCAAGTGGTGCAGCGCATGTTTAGCTAGATATTATACGTGGTACTCAAATGGTAATATAAAAAACAAATACTATTTAATAAAACCTAATATTTAGTTTTTATTGCGCTACTTTTCTTTGAACTTCTTTGAGTTTTTATTGTCCATTTTGGCTTTCTTATTTTTATACTTCATGCCGGATGGCAGCCTGGGTCGCTTACGTGACGAATGGTTGTCAGGTTTAAATAGTTCTGTAAAAATGGATTATTGTCAATTCCACATGTTGCCCAGAATATAACGACACTCACCTTCGTCTGGCTCCTCGCCAACTTCATCCTTGTAATATTGAGCATCATCGTCAGCATCACTTGCATTTTCCGCGTCTTGATTTCGTTTTGCTTCTTTATTTTGCTCTTTTTTCAATTTCAAATTTCGTTCACGATTCTCGGTCTGTTGCTTCTTGCGCTGTTCCTTAAGTTTGCGCTTCTTTTCAATCAATTTACGTAGTGTTTCCTTCTCATCTTCTGTTTTGATGACATGATCGTGATAGAGCACTTCACCAGTTAGCAGACCCTCTTCAATCTTCATGAGCTGCATTGTTAGACGTGGTCCAATTTCATGTAGCTTTACCGAACTTCGGTGGTTCTCCAAGTTACCCTTGCTCTTCAGTGTTTGCGACAGAACCACATGCGATTGCTCGTCTTCATCGGCCTCCGCTTCCGAAACATTTCCATCCCTAAGATTGTATATAGTGATGAATTTGATCGATATTTTAGGCAATATTACTTACCTGGTAACAAAATCGACTACCTCATCGCATTTGTTCAGATTTGGCACAGTGCCGCTCACTATTTTTTGTACGGCGCGCCTCAGACCCACCGGCACCACCTGCACCGAATAATGGCGCATTTCCACTAGCTTTGCTTCTGGATTATACGAGAAGAGAACGCAGCGGCGTATAGTATCAATGTTGACCTGAGCCAAATTGATCGATGGAAACATGTTCTGAAATGTTGTGGCCATCAATTTCAAATGTTTACCCTCGCCGCTAAAATTGTTCATGATGACGAGCGGCGGATGCTTGAAGTGATCAACATCAAACATTTGCTTTTTACTACACGAGATGACGTCACGAGCGAGCGTAAACTGATGCACCTAATAAGTAAAATATACCATTTACAATGGTCTCCATGGAGGAAGCGAACACCACAAATACAAACCTTGAACGTTAGTGATGGGCCACGCGGCAAGCGCAGAACTTTGAAGGACAGCTGTGTAGAGGCTTTGTTGAAGATGCCCATATGCGAGACATGAAAGAAACTGCTTAAACTAACAAAATCTTTGATGCGATTGATTTTCTTTTCGCGCAAATTGGTAGCCGTAAAAGGCTCCATTATGCGACGAAAATCCATTGTCAAATCTGTGATATACGGACATGACAGACCGCGATGTATAATGAAAGAATGTGGTGCTTCAACAATTTCGCTTGGTTCGCTAGCTTTGAACGCTGCTGTGCGTGTTTTTGGGTGAACCTTCTTTTAAGCACCACCCATCTTTTCTCCTTCTGATTAACAATTTAAAAAGAACAAATTAACCGCACGTGTCAGTCAGTTTCTTAAACATTCACCTTACGCACTGACATGCGGATCGATATATCGATAACTTAATTCAATCAATATAGAGTGGCCAGTTAAGAGCAATTTTTTTGTATTGTGATAAGACCAGACGCGCAATAATTTTAAAACTGCCAGCTGTATTTAAATTTAAACTATTGATGCAAAAGTTTCAGATTAATTTATTTAAATTTTATTTATTGAATCACATATAACATACATAATATCTCGACCGCATGAGTCGGGATAACATTCACATGACCTTTTCGATTTATCGATAGCTTTATACAAAAAATTTAAAGTGGTATTTTAAGTATTTGTACCTTGGGATCCCACACGCCTCGGCGCGAGAATTTTAAACAAATGCCCAGTGAATTAAATAACAAGTATTTATGCACAATAAGTATAGGCTTGTTTTATTTAAATTATATTTATTTAATCACTCACAACATAGTTAACACAAATGATGATTTTTGTTTTCTATGTTGCCGTTTCTGCATTTAAAGTTTTACAACTGTTTTTATCAGCTAGTGTTTGAAGAATTCATGTGGTCAATGAAAAAATTTAAATTTCAATAGATGTAAAAATGTCTGCACAAGCATTTTAGTCTGTGTTTGTTGAATGCTAAAACTATTTGAAATTTAATGATTTAAGTTTCACTTTTATTTCATACGTAAAAAAGGTATTACATTAACCAATAAAAAAAGAGTGCAACGACAAGAGCAGCTCCGACGCTGACAAATCGGATAAGGTTAGGGGAATTTCGGGAATTTAATAATAGACAATAATTAAACAGAGCCAGGTTAAAATTATCTTCATAATATGCTTGTTAAATATGCCTAATTTTGCTGGAAAACAATGCGGTGCTTAATAGAACATACTTAGCAATGTTTTAGTTCTTTTTGTTTGTTTGTTTTTTCTTTGAAAATTACAACTATATATTTATGTTGCGAAAAGTATTAATATTAATATTTTTAATATTAGCATTTATGTATATTTATATAAATTATAGTTACAGCTACAGCTTAAACTGAATTTGGAGTGTTTTAGTGTTTCTCATTTTCTTTCCTATTTTTTCATCAGATGTCGAAGAGCCATTGAAGCTTTCTGAAATATGTTATTCATATGTTTATATATAAAACTTCAGTTTAAACTGCAGTTAACTACAGCCGGATGTTGATGTTGCGGTTGGTGTTGTTATTATTATTATTTTTATGCATATATGACAAACTGCTTGTGGCTGTGGTTTAAAAAATAACATCTTATGCCGTTGTTGTAGTTGTAATTGTTGTTGCTCTTGCTATTGCTGTTCTGGCTGTTGCTGCGGGGGGCTGCTGCTGCCGCGGCGAATCCTTGGGGCGGTCACTGACAGCACTGCTTACGAACATCAGCTGTGACAGTCGGCTTTACGTCGATGGGTTCCACATTCGAGGGGCGAATGACATCGCCTTCAGGCGGGTCTCTAATTTGTTTCTGCGACACAATGCGATAGATCTCTGTAAGAATTATTTGAATTGGCATTCTATTCGTTATTCAACTACTTGAGCATTTCTCACCTGTGAGTATATTTTGGAATGCGGTTTCAACGTTTGTCGAGTCCAGAGCCGATGTTTCTATGAAACTTAAACCGTTGCGCTCCGCAAACAGTTTCGCCTCATCCGTCGGGACCGAGCGCAAGTGCCGCAAATCGGACTTATTGCCCACCAGCATAATTACAATATTCTGATCGGCATGGTCGCGCAGCTCCCGGAGCCATCGCTCTACGTTCTCGTACGTCAAATGCTTGGCAATGTCGTAAACAAGCAGCGCCCCAACAGCACCGCGATAATATGCAGAGGTGATGGCTCTATAACGTTCCTGGCCGGCCGTATCCCAAATTTGCGCCTTAATTGTTTTTCCGTCGACCTAGCGAGGCAGTAGACGACAAATTTATTCAATTTGAGCTTTTATAAGATATTAATCATGGGATTGTTGATAATATAGTGAAACAAAAACCGAAAAAGTATGCCTTTTTTCGGTACGCCGAAACATTTCCCTTTTTTAAAATATGAGAGAATAAGGAAACTTGTAAATGCCGAGTTTAAAAAACATAATATTCTGCCATATAAGAAGCTGCTTTTTGATCAAACTCTCCTATGGAACCTATATTATATAGTGGTCTATAGAAGAAATGAAAAAAAAATGTAGATTCCATACCATAACCTTACCTACTTTCGACCGATATAGTCGTCCGATTTTTATAATCTTTGCTATATGTATGAGGAGCATACGACAACTAATAACGATAACAACGATAGCTTTATAACTGAGAGACAAGTTCGCAGACAGACGATCATGGCTATATCAAATCGGCTGTTGATGCTGATCTAGAATATGTATACTTATGGGGTGGGAGATGCTTCTATGCATTACGTAAATTTTATGACAAA